TCAGTAAGGTGAGTGTAAAGGGGGTAAAATCTCCGTCGAGGTCTTTTAGTTTATGCCTTTTTAATTCAGTTATGTTATTTAATTTTCAAGTAAGCGCGATTATGTGTGTGAGGCATCCCACCGCCTACTTAAGGTGGAGGCACGCGTTGTGCTATGTATGTGTGTGTGTGTTTATGTTGTATGGATTGATGGTATGAGGAACCCCCGGGCGGTTGGGCCACTACTGGACGCGGTAGATGGTCAGGTCACTGCTGGACGGCGAGACGTAACGCAGCAGTTGATCGAGTATGTTGTGGTCACTACTGGACGGCGAGACGTAACGCAGTAGTTGACGGGCATGGACTGGACGGCGAGACGTAACGCAGTGCCATTGCCGAGTATGGGTATGCAACCGGACGGCGAGACGTAACGCGGTTGGCATACTAGGGTAGGACACCGGACGGCGAGACGTAACGCGGTGGTCCTAGTGGTTTGTGTTGAGATAAGGATAGAGGTCGAGAACTATTATGAGTTAATGTTGAAATGAGTTGATAAGGATGATTATTTAAGAGCAGAAAGCGAGAACGGCTTTCATGCTAGGAAGGCATTTCCCCTAATAATGTTTTAGTAAGAAGTTTGCCTAGGGCAAAGACCTTAGGAAGTAACGACGAGACTGACCCCTTCTCACTCACCAGGTTGAGGAAGGGTTATTCGATGTGGTTTTCGAGAAGAGACAGGACAAGGCGAGCAGCCGCACCAGCATTGACGAGATGTCAAGGAGCTAAGCCAGGAGTTATTGTTTGTTTAGTCAGTTGTGTTTATGATTATGAGTATAACTGGAGGTTCAAAGGTTGAGGTTTATTAACTATGCATTTGAGTTTTGCCCACGTGTTTAGGGCATTGCATTTGACGTTTTTCTTGGGAATGTTTAAGTTGTATTTGAATTTTAAGCTTTGTTTTTAACCGGCTCCGGAGCCATGATTATTTCGGTTGTTGAAAAGGAATGGGGTGTTTCATTTTGGTATCAGAGCCGGCACTCCTCTGTTCCTTGGCCTCCAAGGAATACTGGAGTGACGATCTGCGTTTTTAAGGTTTCAGTTTTTAAAAGGAAAGGAAAAGGAAGTGTCAGTTAAAAGTTTGGCCATACGAGTCAGAGTCTTTCGGAATTTTTTTTAAGAATCTCCAGTATACTCTAATCATGATAAGGAAATAACTTTAGGATGCCCTATGGTCTTATGATACGTCTTGGGAAGGAGAAGGAGCAGGTTCCTAGAGGGATCGTTTAGTGAAACCCCTTCATGAGTGAGAAGAGGAGGGTCAAGGTAGCTCATATTCTATGGGGATGTGAGCTGATCAGAATAAGGTTCTGGAAGGAGCCAAGCAGTTAGTACATCGACTGGTAGAGCCAAAGAGTTATGGCAAATGTCGCCAGAATCGAGAGGAAAGGAGGCAAGAAAGGGTCGTTACATTTGGCTTTTGGCAAGAATCGAGCAAAAGGCTACGACCCAAAGAGTAGAGGAGGTTAGGATTTAAGCAACGCTAGAGGCGCTTAGGCAAAGCGAAGAAGAAACTTACGAAGTCATGGGTCCAAAAAGGATGTCAAAGAATCAATGCGTCCATGCTAGCAGGAGGTACATGCGGGTGCACTTAATAAATGAGGAATCCCTATGGATACAACACGTCCCTAAAGAGGAGGAATCGTGAACCTGAGAAGCTAGATCGACGAAAAGATCCTCAGAGGAAGGAAGCGACCATCGAGATAAACAATAAGGTAAGCCAGTGCAGTACGTAATTACAAGATAGACCCTCAGTAATTACAAGATAGAGGATAAGGTATTCGAGGGATCCCTGCCGAGTGGTGAGGTGTTCTGCGTTGCCAAGGCAGGCATCGGGTTAGAGGATGAAGAATTTCGCGGTCACAATTATCCCAGTCTAGACAAGTCACGAGATAAAGATACGTTTCAAGGCAGTCAAAACTCAAGATGAGGGGTACCTCATTAGCCGGTTTGAGCAAGCAAGACTGGAGGTGGAACCCTCTAAGCCGAAGTATAGAAGGTCATTGAGCCAGCCGAAGATAGACAGAAAGGTAGAACATTTGAGGGAAGTTCTAATAAATTACAAAAAAAGCAAGAAGAACCTTCAAGGTGGTTCAATTTCCCGTAGTAAGAAGGATTACCACAAGTCGAGTTGGAAGTAGCCATAACGAACAAATTTCGAGGTCGAAATTTTTCTTAAGGAGGCGGGAAATGTGATGTCTCGATTTTGGATTTAGGTTCAACATAAACTATTAGGGGAATAGGATCAACATGACAAGCCGAATTGGCATTTTGTTTCACCATGTTTGGATCAAGCTGGGGAGTAAAAGGGGCAGTGAGACACTTATGGTTACACGAGTGCTGAATGAGCTGGACCAACAAAGTGAATCGATAATTTTGTTCTATCACCAGATGGGGGAATTAAAAAGGACAAGTAGCCACTCAAGGTTACTCAATGCTAATGAGCTTGTTGAGAATACATTTTTGGTCAAGAGGAAATAACTTGAGGTGAAATAAACTATACGAGACAAGCAAAGGACATCATCAAGGTTCATATAGCGAGAGTAAATTTTTGAGTCAAGAAAGTACAAGAATGAGGAGTACGGGAGAATGAGCCCGAGCAAATTTCGGGGACGAAATTTTTATAAGGGTGGAGGAAATGTAACACCCCGACTTTGGATTTAGGTTCGACCAAAATACGGGAACGATTGGGTTAACGGTTACGTACGAAGAATTGCAACCGCGACATAAGAATAATAATAATGATAATAATTACTATTATTATGTTTACGTCAGCCAGGTCCATACTAAGATGATCGATGGGTGGATAAGTGGGTACAAGAACTCAAATGGACCAAATCGAAGCAACGATATTTTTTCTAAGCATTTTACACCCTTAACTATTTCGATGGTTGTGTGTGGGCCATTAAAATTCTCTCCCCGCCTATGGACTACGCATGGATCCATGCATAAAGAATGGGCTGGAGAATGAGTTAGTCGGCCAGTCCATCATTAACTAGCCGATTAGTGAAGAAGATGGTGAAGCCGGATATATATATGTATCTAGGGATACAAACAGAAGGAGTGAGGGGGCTTTCTCAGGGAAGCGGCGGCGATAGCCAAATAATAGAGGGAGAGAGTAGACCAGGCGACGAGATCTGCTCAAGGGATTTTGTTGTGCCCCTTCACGCCACGAGGATCGCTCACCATAAGCCAGCACCGATGCTTGCACTTGGGGTAAGAAATTTCGTCCTTTGTCAAGCTTAAATAGTGGGATACGAATGTCATTCTCGTGGAACATTGCTGTGCGGTGGGGGTGCATGATGAACGTCCCATTATAATGGGTGAAGGGATTGATTTACGTGGACAGCTTCAAAATTGAAGAGGGCTTTATGTTGGCAAAGGTGGGAGGAGGTTCTAAAGTGGGCGAATAAGAAGCTTTAGTAAAATCTAATTGAATTACACATTTAGGAATCTAAGTGATTTCTTTCTTTTTGGTTGTTGTTGTACGTGGAATTTGACTTGGCATGGAATGGATGGAGCATACGTGGAGGTTATTGAGATGGGTGAGGGAGTTCAGCTTGTTGTTGATAAAGAGGAACAGGAGACATCATCCATCGTTGTTAAAGGGATCTCAGGGAGCAGAACTCAGGACATAATGGTGGCAGCTATCGATAGGTGATAGCGATTAACTCCCGTGGATTCGGATCAGTAAGGTGAGTGTAAAGGGGGTAAAATCTCCGTCGAGGTCTTTTAGTTTATGCCTTTTTAATTCAGTTATGTTATTTAATTTTCAAGTAAGCGCGATTATGTGTGTGAGGCATCCCACCGCCTACTTAAGGTGGAGGCACGCGTTGTGCTATGTATGTGTGTGTGTGTTTATGTTGTATGGATTGATGGTATGAGGAACCCCCGGGCGGTTGGGCCACTACTGGACGCGGTAGATGGTCAGGTCACTGCTGGACGGCGAGACGTAACGCAGCAGTTGATCGAGTATGTTGTGGTCACTACTGGACGGCGAGACGTAACGCAGTAGTTGACGGGCATGGACTGGACGGCGAGACGTAACGCAGTGCCATTGCCGAGTATGGGTATGCAACCGGACGGCGAGACGTAACGCGGTTGGCATACTAGGGTAGGACACCGGACGGCGAGACGTAACGCGGTGGTCCTAGTGGTTTGTGTTGAGATAAGGATAGAGGTCGAGAACTATTATGAGTTAATGTTGAAATGAGTTGATAAGGATGATTATTTAAGAGCAGAAAGCGAGAACGGCTTTCATGCTAGGAAGGCATTTCCCCTAATAATGTTTTAGTAAGAAGTTTGCCTAGGGCAAAGACCTTAGGAAGTAACGACGAGACTGACCCCTTCTCACTCACCAGGTTGAGGAAGGGTTATTCGATGTGGTTTTCGAGAAGAGACAGGACAAGGCGAGCAGCCGCACCAGCATTGACGAGATGTCAAGGAGCTAAGCCAGGAGTTATTGTTTGTTTAGTCAGTTGTGTTTATGATTATGAGTATAACTGGAGGTTCAAAGGTTGAGGTTTATTAACTATGCATTTGAGTTTTGCCCACGTGTTTAGGGCATTGCATTTGACGTTTTTCTTGGGAATGTTTAAGTTGTATTTGAATTTTAAGCTTTGTTTTTAACCGGCTCCGGAGCCATGATTATTTCGGTTGTTGAAAAGGAATGGGGTGTTTCAGGCGGATGCCAGGAAAATTCATCTGGTCCACTGGGAGGGTATCTGTCGGCCGAAGAAGGAAAGTGGCCTGGGTCTCCGCAAGGCGCATGAGCTCAATCTTGCCTTTTTGGCTAAACTTGCTTGGTGCTTTGTCAAAAACCCAAATGAGCTGTGGGTGCAGGTTCTGCAGGCTAAATATTTCCGGACTGTGAACGGGCAACTGGTAGCCAAGTCGATGGCTAGAGCCTCCTCGCTGTGGAGAGGAATGCGGCGGGCCTGGCCTATCATGGCAGTCGGGATGGGGATGGCGATTAAAGATGGTTGTGGCACAAGCTTCTGGTTGGACCGGTGGGTGGGGGACGGTGAGCCACTGCTGGATCGGGCCTTGGATTCCGCCCGCAACCTTGACCCCGGGCAGCCTGTCGCCGCGTTTGTGAATACCCGAGGTGAGTGGAATGTTGAGTTATTGGCAGAATTTTTACCCCCGGATGCTATCTCGCAGGTGATTGGGGTTCAACCTCCTATTGCTGGGTCGGGTGAGGATGTCGCCATCTGGTTCCCTGAAGATGATGGGAGGTTCCGTGTGCGCTCTGCTTATGATTTAGCAATCAACGAGGAGGAGCTGGCACGGGACTTCGACTGGCGCACCATCTGGCGGTGGGAGGGGCCTGCCCGCATTAGACATTTCCTGTGGCTAGCTGCTCGGGAACGCTTGTTGACAAACGAAGAACGAGGTCGGCGCCATCTTACGGAGGATACTGCTTGCCCCCTTTGCCGAACAGATTCCGAGTCGGTCCTGCATGTGTTGCGGGATTGCAGTTTTTCCAGGTTAATATGGTTGCAGCAAATCCCTTCTTCTGAATGCCAACCCTTCTTCGGAGCGAACTTGCATGATTGGTTACTTCACAACCTCCGGAGCCAGAGTAACAGCCTCGAGTTTGGTATTACCTGCTGGTCCCTGTGGAGGACCAGAAATGATCGCGTCTTCGCAGGCAAGATCATCACCCCTGAAACCTTCTTGCACCGTGTCCGGGCTTGGATACCTGTAGTGAGGAATGCCTTGGACAAGGACAGGCTCATCAATAAGCCTAGTCCGCCTGCTAGAACGGAGTTGAGAGGCCTCGGCGCTGCTGGTGGCCTTATCCGCGATCATATAGGACGTTGTCTTTCAGCGTTCACTTTGAACCTGGGTGCGTGCACTATAACCCAGGCCGAGTTGAGAGGTGCAGTGGAAGGTTTACAGGTGGTGTGGGACAGGGGTTATCGCAAGGTGCGGGTCCAGCTTGATTCGCAGTGCCCCGTCCACCTCATTGGCCGGACCGATACCGAGGAGCATCATTGTGCAGCTATCCTAGCTCGGTTCAGAGAGCTCATGTCTAGACCCTGGGAAGTGGAAGTAGAGCATGTGTATAGAGAAGGTAATAGATGTGCTGATTTTCTGGCTAGTCGTGGGCATGTGGTCCCATTTGGTTTTCATGAGGTTGTAAGCTCCGACCCGATGCTTTCGTATTGGATCATGTATGACTGTCAGGGGGTCTCCGAACCCCGGTTGGTTTTGAATGAAAGATAGGGTGATGCTGCATCCATTACCAAAAAAAAAAAGATAAAGCTACACTACACAAGGTGTAGTGTATTAGTCTCAATGATTATTGATTCGGGTGTAATTGCACATGTTTATACCCCTTTATTTTGTGATGTTTGTGGCATTTGTATCACTCGAGGAGCAAGTTTACGCTAGGTTTGTGTTTGTTTTAGCATGCTTCAGATATCAGCAGGTGAAATTAGCTTCGGGATCGAAAGTCGAACAAAAGAGGGCAAAACAAAGCAAGGATGGACAAAAGACGACGATCACGTGCAGGGGAGCATTATCACGGGCAGCGGACCGTGAGATGGAGCTCTGGCAGTGGCAGTGATGCTAGACAACTTCCACGAGGCTTCGGATGTCTCACGGGTAAGTCAGACATTGTCTTTTGTGACGCCTCCGAGAATGAAGTCATGAGATTGCTTGCAGTTCTATTATGTTTTCAACAGGTGTTCGGACTTAAAGTTAATTTGGAGAAAAGCAAGTTGTTTCCTGTTGGTGATGTCCAACAGTTGGATAGATTGGTGAATCTCCTTTGTTGCAGTTGGGAGGACTTCCTCTTGGTGCCTCACCTCTCACAATCAGCATCTAGAATCCACTTATTAATAGGGTTTAGGACAGTTGGAAGGTTGGAAAGGGAGTCTTTTGCCTTCGGCGGTAGAATTGTTCTCACCAAAGCCTGCCTTGCTAGCCTCCCAACGTACATGTGTTCCCTCTTTCGTGCACCTCAACATGTGGTTAAGATCATTGAAGAATTCAATGCTCCTTCATCTGGTTCGAGAATCATGAACAAAAGAAATTCCACCTGGTTACGTGGGATCGCTGCAAAAGGCCCAAGAAATTGGAAGGATTGGGTATTCCTAATCTCAATAGGCATAATACAGCACCTTTGTCTAAATGGTTGTAGAAATTTGCTAACGAGGAGAGTCGGTGGAGGAGGTTAATGATCATCAAATACCCCAGTGAAGAGTCTAAGTGGTTTCCTGTTAAGCTCTTCAATTCAGCTGGTTGCGGTCCTTGGAGTCATATCTACAAACTGAAAGACGAGTTCTGGAAGTATGCAGTCATTAGTCTCGGGAATACTGGTGAAGAGACTTCCTTTTGGAAGGACCGATGGATTAAAGAAGTCACCCTTGCTGACAGCTTTCCACGAGTCGTGGTCGCTGCTGAGAACCCCGTGCAAGATTACCTGATATCCTTGTTAGAGAGAGTGAAAGTTTTTCATTTAATATTCTACTTAAATTTCAACTAAAGGGAGGGAAAGGGAGAGGTTATTTAATGTTATTTCAGGTTATTGTCCTAGTTTTTCGACAGGGGAAGACAAAATTTCGTAGATGTTAAACTCTAAGCAGAAGTTCTTCGTGCACAACATGTACTAGCAGCTAACCAAGGAGGCTTTTTTGGAGGTTACAGCTGGGGGAGTTGTAAGATTTGCCTTACAGAGTCATCTGATAGCCGCACATTCCGTCTAACATCTGCTTGTTTGTGTGGTTGGATTATCAACGGAAAATCCTTACTCAAGACGCACTCAAATGTAGAGGATGGAGCTTGCCTAACAGATGTCCATTATGCATGATGAGTGAAGAGGACGTGAGTCACTTGTTCTTGAACTGCAGTTTCACGTCTCACATTTGAGGAGTCATCATGAGATTTGTCTAGCTTCGAGGTTGCATCTTCAGGGAGGCATTGCTGAAGTTATCAAAGGTTGGCTTATTATCTTGAACCGAATTGTAACTAGAGACAGATTAAAAGAATGGGGGAAGATAAGTGATGTAGTGTGTGTGATGTGTGCTGAGGAGGAGGAGAGTTGATCTCATTTATTTTGTAATTGTGAGTATGTTGGGAGATTGATTTTCACAGCTTTTGGTAGCCTTCTACGAAGCTTGGGTCGAATTGGGAGTAGACGTTGCAGGAGTTATGTGTTCTGGCTAAGAAGGGTAGGGAAGGTCCTGTGATTAGGTGGTTTGGCGTTGGATTTGTAGATTGATTTGTAAAGAACGATGTAGGCGTATATTTGGAGAGCAGGCTAAACCATGGGAGATTGTTCTCTTGCACTTGCGAGAAGAGTTTGGGCTGTTGGCAACTGGAAATGTTCACTTTATGGATTCGTTGCAGCATAGTAGTATTTTTAGAAACTTAATTTACATTTCTAGCCGTCGAGATAGTTTCTTTGTAAGATATACATCTGAGTTTTTGTGCGACTTGGTCGTTTGATCAATTAAGCTTATTGGAAACCCAATTACCGGGGGGAATTATTTATAACCTATTGGTATATAATTGAAGCTAATGAACATGAGATACTTGGTTATGATCTCATAATGGGTGTTTATTTTTTGTAGAGATGTATAAAAGTTCTGAAATTTGATTTTTGGTCTAACCATCTATATTTTCAACTTTAACTGGATTTGTCCAAGATTTAATACTAGCCCCGTTCCAACCGGTTTGATGACAGGTACCAATTGTTCTCGGTTGAACCGGCGTGCAGGAAGTCGGCGTGACAACCATGTCGACCTCCCACTTTTTTGGTGGGCATGTTTAAAATTCTGAAATCCAATTTCTGGTCCCAAACGATCGATATTTCCGATTTGACCCAATTTGGCCAAAACTTAATGTTGACCCCTTCCTCACTCTTTTGTTGAAAGATATCAATTATACCCGATTGAACCGGCCAGCAGGAAGTCGGTGGGACAACCATGCCGAGTGCCGACCTCCCACCTCTCTCTTGGAACATGAACCCGCATTTCTCTTCTTTTGGAGATTAACTGCAAATTGGAGTTATTCGATTAATTGTTAAGATTTTGAATTTGTTTTAGTTTTTTGTTTTTGGTATCTTACAAATTGAAATAAACACCCATTATGAGATCCTAATTTAAATAAAGAAGATAAAAGCTCGATTAACAAATAAAAAAAATCATTTAATCTCACAATTTAGATCTAACGTCGAGTTGATCTGTAGTTATGCAAATGTGTATGACCATATGCATCCGATCTTAGACCTCTACCACGTGTAGGCCATCCTTCACACTGCAGATTCAGTCATCCCTTCCCGCAGGCCACAGCCTCAATGGCCGGGCCGCCAAGGCGCCATCACAACACGTCACAAAAGCCTTCACCTCAAGTTGAAAACGCCGCCCTCGCTTACGAGGCGGGAACCCACAGCCATAGATTCGGCGGAAACCAGAGAAACCCCACCATCCAAATTCCAAACTAATAAAGTGGCAGCCTGCTACGCGTGGCGGCAGAATATAATATAAAATAATTAAGAATTGGGTTTTGCTTGCTCGCTCGGGAACACACACAAAAATCCAACCTCTGGCATTAGTTGACAACAGACCCCACCAATCCCACCGGCCACCCCGTTTCCACCTTCCTCCCCCTTCGCCCAGAACTTTCCTACTCCCTCTCCCTCCCTCCTCATCCTCAAAATTCTGTCATGATCTACTATGATCCATCCGAAATATAAAACGATTGAACTACAATTAAAAATACATAATAATCACAGTTTCATAACAAGATTTGTGAAATTGTATTATATTGATGATCCGACCCCAAAATTTTGATTTGATAAGCGTTATAAAATCACTGAACAACAATTTGCATACGAATTACGAGATAAACTGTTTGACCCGGATTAGTACCGGGGGATTAGTGTGGAACCTTGATCCGGACTCCCTCGTCTGATCTCCTCGGGAGTGGAAGAAACCTGTGGAGAGTCGGGGGCGGCCCCCGTGATCTACACTCCGACGCCCAAGTTAGAATAGGATATATGATAGAGTGTAGAGAGAAATGTAGAGAGAGATAGGGTTTAGAGAGAGAACCATAAGTGGTAAAGTGAGGGAAGGGAGAGAAGTCCCTTTGCTTGGAGGGTCTGGCATCCTTATATAGGAGTCGGAGGCATCCTGTGGACGCCTCCCGCTGTCATGGACGCCCCCGGTAGACTGGTCGCCTCCTGTCGATGGACGCCTTCCGGTGAATGGACGCCTCCCGGTGGTGGACGCCTCCGGGTAGGTTGGACGCCTCCCGATGATGGACGCCCCCCGGATAGACTGGTCGCCTCCCGGTGGACTGGACCCTAGAATGGGCTTGGGCCCAAGGTGAGACGCTTTGTGGTGGGCTTGGGCCCGTATTAGGCGGGTTAATACTAGACCCAACATTTGCCCCTTTGCTTCTTGTATTCTGTAAGAATGGAAGGAGTAACATAATGCGTTAAGGTGTATTAACTTGCCTTACTTGCGAGTCCGCACGATGCGGTTTTGCCCCTTGTGCGGCTTTGCCCCTTGTGCGGCCATTGCTTGGTGATGGACGCCTCTCGATGGTTGAGACGCCTCTCGGTGATGGACGCCTCCGGTGATGGGCGCCCACGAGTGGACTGGACCCTTGCGGGTCCAAACGATGTGGTTTGCCCCTTGTGCGACCATTGTCTTTGCTTCTTAGCTTAGCATTCGATGTCTTGAGTTAGAGCTCTCAAGTCGTTTGAGATTTCCCCACTAGACCATTGCTGAGCGTGCTAATATGTAGGCCGTAACTGTGAGCTGTATGCGTTAAGCTGTTGGACCGCGAGATGGGCATGAGCTTGTGTGCATGTTAAGCGTGAGTTGTTGGCTGAATATTAGGCGTTAGCTATGTGCTAGGGAGGGCGGCCCCCACGACTTGAGAGTTTTAACTCAAGGCGGCGTTTTTGTTTTGAAGATGCCACACCTGCTGGGAGGCGGGATCGTGTTTCTAGCTATACCGATGTCACGCCTACTGGGAAACGGAATCGGGCTTCTACGTAGAGGGGAAGCATCGCTGAGGAAGCGGGATGCGGTTTTATATCTGCGAAAGATGTGAGTGACTAGTTCCCAATATACTTAGGGTTTAAATATGAGTATAGGATGTAGTGAGAAATATCATAGTTGATATTAGTGGCGGTCTTCATGGCATAGTATTTGAATATATCTTAGAATGAAGTACTTAGCTTGAGAATAAGTTGTAGAAGACAGCAGGGAAGCGGTCTAAATAATAGGAGTCGCACTTTGATTCACAAATAAGTGTTGTAGTGCAGTGGTGCGGCCTTTGACGTGGTGAGGGTGGGCGCGCGGGTTCGAATCTTGAAAGACACATTCTACTCATCTTTTTTGGTGAGCGGCTTCCTTTGGACTTGATGTGCGGGCCCAATTAAAGGGGACGCGGGTCTTGGTCGGCGGGTTGGTGAGCGGCTTCCTTTGGACTTGATGTGCGGGCCCAATTAAAGGGGACGCGGGTCTTGGTCGGCGGTCCCCAACGAGAGGCGGATTTGGGCTTCGGAGGCTCAGTTGGGCATGGGCCCCTTGATGAAGTTGGAGGCGGTCTTCGGAAGCAGAAGAAGACGCGGGTCTGCGTTTGCGCTGAGACGGGCTGGATGCTGTCGGAGCGGTCGATGTTTGGGCTTTGACACAAAGCGGGCTCCATCTTGGGCTTTGAGGTGCGTATGCGGGCCGGACGAGTTGTGAGTTGGAGGCAGGCCCAAAGTGAGGTGTGCGGTTTCACGATTGGCGGCCGAATGCGGTTGGGCTGAGAATTCGTCGGGCTTTGTTGCGAACTTTGATAAATATAGAGCGATGCAAAAATATGCAAGATGTGTTCTTCTAGCAAACTGGTGAGCACTCGTGTTTGATGGAAGCAGGATGCGGGTTCGAATCACGGTGGAAGTAGTTACTTTCATTTTTGTAGTTGAACTACACTTGGGATAGTGGTCTTGCGAGGCGGCCCATTCTGCGGATTGTGAGGTGGGCCGCGTTGTGATTGAAGACATGGTCTGATTGAAGCCGCATTTGACGAAGTGGACGGGAAGCGGTTCCATGCAGCTGCAGATGAAAGCGGGGGTTGTGCGGCTGATGGGAAGCGGTCGGTTGTTGGCGGTCTGCAAGGTAGGACGGTCTTCGTTGGGGAAGTGAGCGGGCCAGCTGTAATCCACTTGCCAAGTTCTCAAAAACTTTGCCATTGGGAAGCGAGAAAGTGTGATTGAGACAGCCTGCCCCTTGGGAAGCGAGAAAGTTTGATTGAGACATCAAGCTTTTTCTCGATTTCGCTAATCCACTCACTGTGGAAGAGCAGTCTCCTTTTTCAGAAGCACGTTGGGAGAGACGAGGATGAGTTGCGGCCGGACTTCTTATTTCCTCGTCGGAGGTCCGGCGCTGAACATGTTCCCGGCGATTGGAATCTGGAAAGTTGATGAGCGATATGAAACTTTTTTGTTTTTTCTTCTTTTTCTTTTTGCTCTGGTGGCTTCGGCGGGATTTTGCGGTCGGAGCCGTCGAGGGTAATTAGTGGAGAAAGGATCGATTTCCTCTCCTCCTTCAGATACCAAACAAGAAGAGTACCAAATCATGGCCCCACGGTGGGCGCCAAAATGTTTGACCCGGATTAGTACCGGGGGATTAGTGTGGAACCTTGATCCGGACTCCCTCGTCTGATCTCCTCGGGAGTGGAAGAAACCTGTGGAGAGTCGGGGGCGGCCCCCGTGATCTACACTCCGACGCCCAAGTTAGAATAGGATATATGATAGAGTGTAGAGAGAAATGTAGAGAGAGATAGGGTTTAGAGAGAGAACCATAAGTGGTAAAGTGAGGGAAGGGAGAGAAGTCCCTTTGCTTGGAGGGTCTGGCATCCTTATATAGGAGTCGGAGGCATCCTGTGGACGCCTCCCGCTGTCATGGACGCCCCCGGTAGACTGGTCGCCTCCTGTCGATGGACGCCTTCCGGTGAATGGACGCCTCCCGGTGGTGGACGCCTCCGGGTAGGTTGGACGCCTCCCGATGATGGACGCCCCCCGGATAGACTGGTCGCCTCCCGGTGGACTGGACCCTAGAATGGGCTTGGGCCCAAGGTGAGACGCTTTGTGGTGGGCTTGGGCCCGTATTAGGCGGGTTCTCCCTCCCTCCTCATCCTCAAAATTCTGTCATGATCTACTATGATCCATCCGAAATATAAAACGATTGAACTACAATTAAAAATACATAATAATCACAGTTTCATAACAAGATTTGTGAAATTGTATTATATTGATGATCCGACCCCAAAATTTTGATTTGATAAGCGTTATAAAATCACTGAACAACAATTTGCATACGAATTACGAGATAAACTAGATCAATACAAAGGAAATATTTCTATATGCCAAAGAGTAAAATTGAATGAGTCAAACATCCAATTGCAAAACGGAGGAGGGGATTTGAATGGATATCATTCAAGGGGTTAATTAATTTTGGAGGAAAGCGGTGGGACGGCAAAGCTGTACACGTGCCGCCAAACGGTGGAGACGATAAAGCTGTAACACCACTCACCGCCATTCCCCGCCAACCAGGTCAACACGGCATTCCCTTCCTCCATTGATCTCGGCGGCGGGTCCCTCTGCTGTACCATTTACCTTCCGTCGACGGCCACCGCTTTCCAACAATAAACAACTCTTTTCCGTTCTCAACGTAGTTATGGCATTCACCGCCTTTCTATTATCTTCCCGTCGGTGGCTTAATTAATTCAGATTCATTCTTAAAATGAAATCAACATCGGGAGAAAGAGAAATAACTTCATATTTGAATATATATCACAATGAACAACTCAACTAGATTGATGAAGAGTATAAAACATCACTTCTTCTCCGATGGGTTGCAAAAATAGAAAAAAAAAGGATTTCGTTTCCTTCCCCGAGTTGGGTTCCTGATGATCATACGAGATAAAGACTTATTTACATCAAAATGGTGGAAGAGCCTCCAAATGTTTTACCAGATCTGGCTCCCCCATCCCTTCCTACGAATCTCTAATTAGCTCAAGCTTTTGCTATAATTAGTTGGGGGAACTGGAAAGATTAAAAATAAAAAAACAACGCTGAGTCATTGATTAGCGCCTGAGATTTCATAAAAAAAAAAAAAAAGAACCCATCAAGCGTTCACTGGTGGGGCGAGATTGAGATCCAGATCCAGATCCGGAACTTCCCGCCGCTTGCCGTTTGCCTTGCAATCCAAAACCACCGACGACGTCGAATCCGTCTCGCTCTGCTCCCCCTCGTCGCACCGGCTGTAGGTATCGACGGCCAAGGGTGGGAGCTCTGGCTTCACAATTCCGTCAAAGAACCACACCGGAGTCACAGCGCACTGCGGCGGCGGCGGCGGCTGATTCACCTGGAAAACGAAAGGAAACCTGCCGACAAACCCAGCATCAGCGCCGCCGACAACAGGAGGAGGTGGAGGAGGAGGGAGAGGGCGGAAGAAATCCAACTGGCGCGGCACCACAGGTGGCCCGGACGATTCGACGGTGCTGCTCTGGCTGGGGCTCTGCCTGTTCTCCAGGCCACCATCAACCGCCTTGGGAGCCGGGATATCGTTGGGGATGGGGAAGTTGGTCTTGGCCTTGCAGCCGCGGAAGTCGAGCGCCGCCTTGTCGTACGCCCTAGCGGCTTCCTCCGCCGTATCGAAGGTTCCCAGCCAAACACGAGTCTTCTTCCCCGGATCCCGAATCTCGGCGGCGTAGCGCCCCCACGGCCTCTTCCTAACTCCCCTGTAATGCATCTCTTTCCTCCCGCCGCCGTCGCTCTTGATTTGGGCGGGATAGAGCTTCTTCTCCTTGGAAGGCGCCATTGACGGCTTCTTCTTTCTCTTTTCAGTTTCCGCAGTACGGAAGAGGATCGAAGAATTTGGTGGCTGATAATGATAATTAACAATTAACGGAGGATTGAGGAGGAAGCGGACCAAGCGGTGGTTGTGGTGCTTTTGAGGGCTTCTTTTTTGCTTTATATAAGCGAGAGCGGGGAAGGGAGGGAGCGGTCAAATATAGGTTCGAGACCAAGGAGGTGCCGCCGCCCCTATTATAAAGAAGAAGAAAAAAAAGGAGGCCGCCCATAGGGGCAAAAGCGGGAAAGCAAAAAGCAACCGAGCGAGCATGGAAAAAGGAGACAAAAACGATAATGTTGTCCGGGTTACGTGGCATGCGCTGGTTCCGAGACAAGCGGTTTTCGTTCCCGCTTGCCGCCTCTAGCCTACCCGAAACTATTATCCATGACTTCTTTTAATTTTTTTTCTTTAGTGCTACCTAGAGGGACAGGATACGGTGACAACCCCTTGGGAGTTGTCAGATTCACAACCAAGGATATTTTGGGTATGAAAAATATGAATATATTAATTACCTTTTTTGTATTAATTATATTGGGAATTTAATACCCATATTAAATACAATTTTTTTCTGAAATTTAAATCTTATACATTAATATCTCTATCTCTCTATCTTCCTTTCTCCAGCAGCCACTCCGCATCGACTGACAAACTTTTTCTCCGGCGAATTCTCTCCGGCAGACTCCCTCCGGCAACCTGAAAAAATGTACCAATGCGTTAAAAAGCGTACCAATCTATTAGTCTACTGGTAATTAATATACCAGTGCTAGTGGTACGCTACCAGTACGTTAAAAAATGTACCAGTACTAGCGGTACCAGTAAAAAATGTACCAATACTAGTGGTACGCTACCAGTACAACGCTACCAGTAGAGAATAACACAACGCTACTAGCACTGGTAGCGCTACCACTAGCATTGGTAGCGGTACCAGTAGAGAATAACACAAAAAACAGATAATAGTGTTATTAGATGATAGTGGTACCAGATGATAGTGGTACCAGTGAGTAGTGGTAGGGGAGCCACTGGTACGTACCAGTGAGTAGTGGTATCGTACCAATAGGAATTGGTACCACTAGCATTGGCGGTCTTCTCATCTAGATTCTTCGCACCCCCGGCGGTGGCCTTGGCGTCGAGGAGGTCGTTGAAGCCGACGCCGGAGGCAGAGAGCTTGGTGTAGAGACGATCTGGACGTCGATCTGGACGTTGCTGATGAGAACGCGGACGGAGCCGATCTGGACGTCGCGGAGCCAGGCGGCGGCGTAGATCTCGATCATGATGGCGGGGACAGCAGGCTGTGAACGGTGGGCACGGGAGAGGAAGAGGGAGGGGAGGACAGCGGCGCGGGGAGGACAGCGGCGGGGCGGGGCGCGAGGGGAGGACAGCGGCGCGGCGGCAGGGGAGGCAGAGGCGGCGACGGTGGTGGAACTCTTGACGGCTAGGGTTTTTTTGTTAGAGATATGTGAGAGGGGAAGAGGAGGGAGACGAAGGAGAATGGGGGAGGGTTTTTTTTTTGTTTTTTTGGTAATAAAAAGTATTTATATGGAAAATGGAAAGGATCTCATGCGGTAAGTTTTCCATTCCGAATTTGCCCTTGGTTTAATCTTAACCATTAATTTAAAAAAAGAAGAAAAAGACAGGAGAGAGAACGTATCCGATGGCCACAAAGGTGGTTGTGAATCTGACAACCCCCTTGGGGGTTGTCACCGTATCCTGTCCCTATTTTATGAAAAATTTTCAAACTACACATGGTTGACGGTCGCGGTGAATGCCTTACGTAACACTAAAGAAAATTTATCTGGATTTTTTCCTCCAAAATATACCCGTTTTTAAAAGAAATTTTCAAAATATACATATTTTATGAAAAAATTTCAAACTACACATGGTTGACGGTCGCGGTGAATGCCTTACGTAACACTGAAACTTCAAACGAACGTAACTTTGCACTCGTTTATCCAATTGCAGCGAATTTTTTTTGATTTCGTATAACTTTTCAAGATCTTTCAATCTGTAACCAACATTCATCCCAAAAAAATATCGTTTGATACCCCGAACGGGCAAATTTTTTATTTTTCCAAACTTCGGAAGGCCATAATTTTTTGCTCATCAATCCGAACATCATAAAGTTTTTTTTATTGCGCTCATCTTTTTAAGAACTACAACTTTTACTATGAAAGAATTTTTTTTAAAAGAAATATTTTTTGGTATACAGGATTTTGGATTAACTTTGCCTTTACTTTTCACAAATCCACATACATTCCAAAATTATAGTTATGATAAAAGTGTAGTCCTTCAAAAGTTATGCGAAATAAAAAAAAATTCATGACATTCGGATTGCGGAACACTAAGTTATGGTCTTCCAAAGTTTGTCAAAATAAAAAAATTGCTCGTTCGGGGTAGCAAACGATATTTTTTTGGGATGAAGTCCTTTTGGATATTGAAAGATCTTGAAAATTATGTGGAATAAAAAAAATCGCTACAATCAGATAACCGAGCACAAACTTACGTTTGTTTAAAGTTTCAGTGTTAGGTCAGGCATTCACCGCTTTCGTCTGCCGCGGTGAATGCATTCACTGCGGTTGACGACCACAGTGATGCACAAACATATGTATTTTGGAAATTATTCATATAACATGTGTATTTTGTGAATTTTTTTTAAAAACATGCCTATTTTAGGATTTCTTCCATTTATCTGCAACTCAATATATTAGGATTTCCTGCCAAATTCATAGTGGATTGGTTACTAGTCATTTAAAAAAAATTAAATTTAACCAATTATAAATTATAAATTAATGTTTTTAAAAAAATATCATATTAGTCGTGCTATTCAAAATGAGGCACTTTGTTATATTTAAGTACAAAGGTAATTGAAACATATATTAGCAGAGTATACCATGGTGGTTAGGGATGAGAAAATCATTGCGGTTTTTTGGTTAAACCATAACCACACCGAATAGCGTGATTAAAGACTAACTACTAACCATGCAAAAGGGGTTTCATACGGTCGTAGTTAGAAGAATTGATCGTTCTGCAGTTAGTGGACTAACCGCAAACATAACTGAACAAACAACTAACCACGGATAAAATCCGGGCCCAACCCACCTATCGCTAGCATACACTCCACCCATTCTTGTCTTGTCGTCCCTCGAGTAGAACACGCTCTAATTCCATCATTCCTCCTCCTCGACTAGTCGTCTACCAAGTAGAGTAGTTGATGTTCCACTTGCAACCTTCCTCCTCCACCCTTAGTCTTTGTCAATTCGGCGACCGCTGCAGCTAACCGAAACTAATCACTAACCGCAAATGGTTACTCGATAATCATTTACGATATGATCATGGTTGACGAATTTCTCCTTATTCTGTTGTGGTTAATCGAAATCGCAGCATTTTCACCCTAATGGTGGTAATGCGGTAGCACATAAAATCATATCATGGCGGTATGAATACCATAGTGTAGAATAATTGAATGCATGATACTATAAATATATTTATCACCATTTATAAGTTTTGATCACCTTCTACCACTAGTTACGATCTTATACCATGATGATATAAGGTGGTCTATTTGGTTCCATAAAAAATTTCCAAAAGTGTGTTGTACATTAAAAATTATGTACCATGATCTAACATTCACCCTCGAAATGGAAAGTAGAGGGTGGGAAAAACTGGGAGAAATGGAGGGATTCAAAAAAAATTCCATGTTCATAAATTTTGCTATAGTAAGGAGAATGATTATTCTGAGGCGAAAACTACTAAAGCAATTGCCCCCCCAATTTGGAGTGATAACAATTGGTCTCTTATTGAGCTTCTTTTCATTTCATTTTCCCTTCAAAATTGAACACCTAATTTCCCTTATTATTTCACTACCCTCAAAATTTCACTCCCTCTAAATTTTCCTTCCCCTCCCCATTTCCCCCTCATTTCGTAAACGAAGTGTTAGAGATTCAATTTATTCCATAAAATCCTGTAATCTTTTGGCTTACCATTATCCAAAAATCCGTAAGAGATTTTACATGAAAAACTTGAGTTTAGGATAAAACAAAGCTATCTAACCCGAGTCATCTTCGTCTCTCCAATGTGCATAAGAGTTTTGCTAAATCAATGCTTGTAGCTATTCGATATCAATCAATTCGAGCGATCTGTTAAATTGTCAAACTTCATAGTTTTATTCATAAACCAAATCTTCCTTGCACTTGTCTTCCATAGTTGATTGAGTTTCTTTGTTGTTCTCTGAGGAGGACTCGATCTCTGCATGAACCAAATGTTTGTACGGATTCAACAAAAATCACCATTGATGGATTCGGTTCCTTATGTTGTTTCGGTCGATCTTATAGGTTGCAGAACTTCAATGATTTTCGTAGAAAGTGAATTTCATACAGTTTGTTGCGATCGCACCGATAAAGCAACTTATTCTCCCGTTGTTGAAAACAAAATTGAGTTTGCAATATGATTTTATGGTTTTGTATGCAAATTTTAGAGAAAATTGGGAGAATTTTAGGGGAAATCGCAAAGAAAAATAGAGAAAGCTGTGAGAGGCACAGTCAGTGGCGTAGACAGACATCGAGTCCACTGGGGTCCTTAAAAATTTGCTAACATAAATACTTGTGTACCTAATGAATTTTGAGTTAACCGGGGTCCTTGGCGAGCTAATATCGTTGAGAGTATATGGGGTCCTAAACTTGAATTATCGTACTAAAACATATGTATTTAAAGAGTTTTGTTGTCCAATTATTTGCCAAGTGAGGTCCTAGGACCCCTCTCCTCTTTACCTCCCTCCGCCACTCACAATCGCGTGAGTGTACATTTTGAACGCGAGTGTACATTTTCAATTTATGATAATATATTATTATACTTTTCTTCTTGTACCCATTTTACCTCTAGCTACTTTTGAACAATTGGATGAATTTATTCCCCGACACTCCATAATTTTGACAGACAACAAAAATTTGTATGTTTTGTTATGTTGACGATGGTGAGCCCCAAACGACAGGGCTAGCTGACATGGCAAGTGTATTTGATATGTTGTCAAAACAAACAGAACCCAATGATAATCGAATCCAAAATAGCTGATTGATCTCGAACCGAAGATCACTTTGGTTCGGCCTGTCTGAACCAGTTTAAGTTAAGTTTCAGTCCGGGTTTGACCGCACAACCAATTTACATGTAAGGATCCCCATCAATGCTAACATAAGCAGTTGTTATGGTGTTGTCATGACTGTCAAACTAGTGGAATGCTGACTGGTACAATTGGGTTTAACCAGTATCGTTCACAAAACTAGCTAGAATTCATCCGACGTGATATTCAATCATTCAAATATAAACGTGTGGATGTTGGTGTTAAATGTTGTATTTAAATGAGGTGTTTTCATTTTGTTTGTAATGTTGTATCCTTTTTTTTTTTGTAATGTATTATATTTAAACATGAATGTAGATTTTATAGAGGTTATCTTCAATTATATATATGTCAAAATTAATTTAGTGTCGATTTTCACTTCCTTACATATTTTACTAAAACAGACATGATATTGACACTACCGGGCGAAACATACCACTTGTCAAACCGGCGTAACGATATAAACTGAGTTGACAACCTTTGATTTGGTGAGGGAGTTGGTAGCGATTGAATTCGAGGAAGACAAGAGAAGAATATTGGTCTCTGTTGGTGGAGGAATCGATCGATTGATAGAAAGATGCGGCGAGAGATGAGTGGAAGGTGGAGGGAACGACGACTGGAGAGATGGAACCACCGAGATTCAAGATGAGAAGAAGAGTCGGAATTTTATGAAAATTTGTAGATGACTAATGACTATCCTAGGGGGACATGAGAAGACGAAGACATGAGAAGAGATGGGGGTTTTCGATATATCGACGAAACCAAACGAACTGGTTTTATTCCGTTTCGGACAATGTCGAACCAAAAGAAAGTTTGATTAGACTCGGAAACACAGACACATTTATAGATTAGATTTTATCGGATCGATAGATGCTCACCCTTGTCCAAGCCGCCAATAGCTATTGGGCTAGCCTCAAAATCCAATAGCCTCCAAGCCCCTACAAATATAGTTAGGGGTCGTTTGGAAGTTGCGATTGTTAAATAGATGTATTGTTGAGAATGCATGTATAATATTATACATGTATTGTCGAATTTGATGCATTGTAGAATACAACATTTGGTATGTGTGATTGTGTATGTCGCATCAGCTAAAAGCTGAGACAAAACAATCTCAACTCAACTATCTCAACAATCACAACTAAAAGTTGAGATATAACAATCACTCAAAATGAGTGATAGTTTCTGTCACATTATAGAAACAATCCATGTATTGTTTCTGCTAAAAAAACAAAAAAAACCATGCATTGTAAACAATACATGCATAATGACAATCTCAACAAAACAATCGCAACTTCCAAACGACCCCTTATATATACACAACCAAATGATAACAAACCATACGGAGTGGACTTGGGCTAGGCTTAGAGATTTGGTTTGTTTTAGAGGTGTGCAGCGATCCACTCCAGTCCTGACCGAACTCAACTCTGAAGAATCTTGGTCCAATTGTGAAAGATATATTAGGACCAAAGACCGGATCAGTAGTGCATTTGGTTTGACTTGGTCTGGTCCAAATGTCAGTTCGATCCATTTTTTCATTATTTATAAATTTTATGTGACCAAATACCGAACCATATTATCTCCTGTTCGATGTGGTTGCTGTTCGAAACAATTCAAATTAATTATCTAACATGATCAACAAATGATCGAATTTCAAACTGAATATCGTATCAGTTCGATTTTGATCTATTTGGTGCCCGTTTGGGTTGGTTCGATTTTACCGAACCGAGTGGCCACCGCTGGTACCTACGGTCCAATCTAACAACCTGAACTTGCGTGCTCCCACAAGTCAACAGTCAACACGGCTCTGGCATCTATTCCACAAAGCTCCCAAAATCCCACCACCGTCTCTCCCTTCCCTTCCTCCCCCTTCTTTTCCTTCCTTCTTCCAATCAAACCTCACGAAGGGCAAGAAAGTGGAAAACAGGAATCACCGGGAAAATTCTGCCTCAATAAGTTACGATCCGATCCCTAATTTTCTCAGCCGGAGGTAAAATTCAGACATTTCGTGTACAATGGAATTCGAGCTCTTACGTTCCACCGCTGCGTAGCTTCCTCCTTCGAAATCGTCCCTGGCTGGTGATGGTGATAGGCATTGGTGGAGGAGGAGGACTGCAGATTGATCGCCCGCGAATAGCGACTTAGAAGATTCAATAAAAACGGCAATGAAGCGATATGTTTATATCAACGACGATGAATCCCCGACGCAGGATCTCTATTGCGATAACCGCATTTCTAACCGGAAGTACACTGTCTGGAACTTTCTCCCTAAGAATTTATGGGAGCAATTCAGGTCCAATTTTCTTCTCATTCTCTGGTTTCCTCAATTCTCGATGCAATTCAGAGGCATCGTCGCTTTGTTTAGTCGCCGGCGATTGAATTGGTTCCCCTAAAATTCTTTCTCCCGGTAGTTCTGGCGGTGGTATGATCCTGCTTGCTGGGATTGGTAGCTTGTTTTCTTTGTAGGATTGGATAGGCAAGAATGAGGTGTTTAAAAGTTCTGTGCTCGCTGTGTGCAGGATTAATTCATAGCATTTCGTATCCCTTTCCTTCGTGTAATGTTGTTGTTTCTTCTTTTGTTTCAGCCGGTTCATGAACCAGTACTTCTTGTTGATTGCTTGCCTTCAGCTATGGTCACTAATTACTCCGGTAAACCCTGCCAGCACATGGGGTCCGCTAATTTTTATTTTTGCTGTCTCTGCATCAAAGGAGGCTTGGGACGATTATAATAGATTCCTCTCTGATAAGAAAGCCAATGAGAAAGAAGTCTGGATCGTTAAGCACGGGCTAAAAAAACCTGTAAGTGTTTAGCTTCCCTACATATTTTATTTTCCTACTAATCCCGAGTTCATCAATATTGAATGGAAGTTGTAGCATTGTTCTTGGTGCTTACTTGTTCTGATTTGGCTGACTTGTTTTCTGTCTCTTATCACAAGTATGAATCTTGGCCATATTAGCTACTTAAGTTGAGCAGTTATTATAAAATTATTAGACTCATATTAGAGGGACTGCTTCTGCTTCTGATCACGGGCTTCAAGTCCAGGTCCTCAGTTTGCACAATCTGTGAATAGGTTGTTCGATGGAAGTTGTAACAAGTGACGCTAATACCTAAAAAATCAATACCTAATCAAGACTTTTTTGCTTCGTTGTGCCATTGAAGGCTTTGCCCAAGGACGGGTTTGAGTATAGTGAATGCATATGACTTAGGATCATGGAATGCTGTTTGCTATAGGGTTTTCTAGGACCTAATCTATTATTGTCGTGGGACGGCTAAATCATCTTGCTCGTTTGAGTACACTTATGACATCTTCAAATATTGTATCTACTTTGCAGAGCCGAGCACAGGACGTCCGTGTAGGTGATATTGTGTGGCTTCGGGAGAATGACGAAGTCCCATGTGATCTTGTTGTGCTTGGTACATCAGATCCTCAAGGCCTTTGCTACATTGAGGTAAGTACATCTTGCACTCATAGCATACTATTTCTATTGCAGTTATGTGCTGTTTTCCACGCAGCCAAGGGGTTTAGATGGCTCGTATAACTGTGCACGAGGCAAAGCAACTTGATAGGTGGTTTTGTTTATAATAGGCTGTAGTATTTGCTTACAGTGAGGCTTTTCAGAGAAGGAATGGCCATTTGGTCATGCTTCTGTCTAGGTTTAGTGACCCAATTCTGTTCCTTGTCAAGATTCATGAGGTCCTGGATCCTACTGCCTCAATTTTGAAGACGTGGAAGTGAACTTGCTCAATAACTCTTGGCACTTGTTTGATAGAATTCTGTTTCTGCATTAGTGCTTTGCCATTAGAACCAGCTCCTTGAAGTATTAAGTTCTCACAACACAACTTATCCCGTAAGCGATATTTGCATGCAACAGAGGCATGTTTCAAATGAAACCAAAATATTCGTGTTCAATGCGTTGTATTGGTAGGTTGCAGCAACTCTGAAGAGTCGAGCTTGGCTTTGCCAATACCTTACAGATGCCATATTTTGTTTCATGATTTCCTAAATGGTATTTCAAACGATACCTTAAGTAATGTCAATGTCTCTTTCCCTTGTCAAACTCAGAGCACACTCTTCCTGATTCAGTTATATGAAACATAGAGTTACCAAAGGTTCAAGCTTGTAGGTTGACAAGAGCAGGTATGATGTCACTATAATTGGCAATTAGTCCTTACCATCCAGGGAGAATTTTGAATTAGAACAAACTTGAATTAGTAGGAAAGTTCAGAAAGGCTCTCACTGAGATTGAAAATAGGTGGAGAGCAACATTATGACCTATTTGCTCTTTCTGATTGGTTTTGGTTAGAGGTCAAATTCTGATACTTACACATTTCTTCTTCTTGAATATGTCAAGAATTTAAACCTGTGCTACCTTCCATTCCTGTCTTTGTTAACTTGGTGAGTTTACTAGCCTTATTGTCGCTTCCTTCTGGAACCTCCAGTTAAACATGTTATATGTTTCCCTTTCATGAGTAAAGCAGTGGGATTAATATACAAACAGTTAAATATGTATGGTTGGAGACCAATGTATCATTGCTCTTAAATAGCCTTTTACTTTTTCCTGTAAATTTCAGGATCCTGATCTATGGTGATATAACATACTTTGCAGACTTCTGCTCTAGATGGCGAAACTGATCTAAAAACTAGAGGTATACCATCTGCTTGCACGGGAATTGATTCAGAGTTGCTCCACAAAATTAAGGCAAGTTTCCCGAGTCTTACATTTTGCAGGGATTTTCCTTTTAATTTCCTTTGGTTATTGTAAGTTGATCGATCAGCTGTTATCCTCAGGGTGTTATTGAGTGCCCCAATCCAGATAAGGACATTAGGAGATTTGATGCAAATTTACGGCTGTTCCCTCCCTTTATTGATAATGATGTCTGTCCATTGACAATAAAGAATACGGTTCTCCAGTCCTGCTACTTGCGGAACACAGAGTGGGCTTGTGGGGTAGCTGTCTATACGGGTAAGTTTCTAGCTCTAGTATTATGTCTATTCAGACTTGCATGAGATATGTACATTTCCACTTGATGATTTGTGTTTTGAGCAGGAGAGAGAGAGAGTACCTTATTTAACTTACTCCTTTTTCTTTCCCGAGAAAATATTTGTTTGGTACTGTTAGTGTCTCCGTGACCTGTTCCTTTGTTATTGATATAAGTTGAGCAATTATTCAATGATGATGTTCTCTATATGTTTCTTTTCAGGAAATGAAACCAAGCTGGGTATGAGCAGGGGTATACCTGAACCTAAACTTACAGCTATGGATGCCATGATTGACAAATTGACTGGCGCAATATTTGTCTTTCAGCTAGTAGTAGTTGTAGTTCTAGGCATTGCAGGGAATGTATGGAAGGACACAGAAGCAAGAAAGGTTTGTCAGGGTCCTTGAATTGTTTCATCTTGATAATCATTTGGTTAAGCATCCTTGAATCTGGGCCACTTACTCCGTGACAAGGCAGTTCTTATCTGAATTCCCTTTATCAAGTGAAATGCCTAGTATCTTTTCACGAGTAGCCTCATATACCACCACCACTCCTAGACTTTGTGATTAATTATGCGGACGCTTATCTCGGTGTTGAATGAGCAGTACTGCATTAACCACTTGTTGCTTGATGCTCTCTTCCCCATCACTCTAGACTTTATGCAGTGAAATGCTTAGTATCTTTTCATGAGTAGTCTCATATACCGTCATCACTCCTAGACTTTGTGATTAATTATGCGGACGCTTATCTTCGTGTTGAATGAGCAGTAGTGCATTAACCATTTGTTGCTTGATGCTCTCTTCCCCATTTATCACTTTGGATCTGGAATTGTAACATTTGCTTAAAATAGAAACTGTAGTTTCTTGAGGATGAAGAAGGCAACTTCATGTTGTGTTCCCAATTCTCTTTTGATGATGGGTACTTCCATATTTTATTCTTATTTGAAATGGTGGTGAATGCTGGAACCATTTAGGTCTGACACAAATGAGGGTGACCATTGTCTCTGGAATTTCATTGCAACCTTTCCTTTTAAGTTTCTCATTTATGGAGTACAATCAATCAATCATATTATTTATTTATTTCGAGCCTTATATGTACGACCGCTCTCCTCATATGTGTCATATTATTTCTCTCCAGACATCTTAAGGCATTTGGAATTCTGCATTGCACTGGTTATTAGTCGTATCTCTTTCATATGAATATCTCAACATATCATCGGAAGTCTTTTTTCTTCGTATGTTTCATTCTAATTGTAATATGCTTTGGTAGTTTGTTTCCCTCTTATATTTTGCTTCACGTGTTGATTTAGGTCATGCTCATTTTAGTTAGTTTTATTTATTGGCAGCAATGGTATGTCCAGTATCCCAAAGAAGGACCGTGGTACGAACTACTGGTTATTCCTCTAAGATTTGAGCTCCTTTGTTCAATAATGATCCCGATATCCATTAAGGTAAATGTATTTTATGTGCAGAAAAATCAATGGCTAGTTGCTAGAATTTCTCTGGCTGGTTATGTTGCTTTAGGGGTTCCTTTAAGAAAAGACAGGCTAATATGGAGGTCAATAATTTTGTATGGGCTACTACAATGATAAATCAAAACACTACTCCACTCGTGATAGAGGGAAATTCCTGCAATAGCAATCTTATTAGTTTGCAAACACCTGGAGTCCACCTAGATCAAATCTTATATTGTCTGAAGAGAGATCCTTCATTGCATTGTGTTCCTTTTGTACAAATACTTCATGCACAATTCCCCGCAACTTAGGCACATTGTCCACGATTCGCAGGAGTGCCAGTATTAGTTAGCCGAATGCATTTTTGTAAGTGACTGTTGGCCCCAAGATCTCAACCTAGGGTCTGTTGCATAGTTTAGTTCCTTCAATCATCAACTGAAAAATCTTTATCCTTACTATTGACTGCTACTACGGTTGAATCTAATGTGTGTTGCACACTATTAGTTATCTGTTGAGCATTTGGCCTGATTGTGTTTTATGTTTGGATCCATAGTTTACGTTTCGGTATTATTACTTTTTGGTTGAATCCTTTTTGATTAGTGATATTGAAAAATGCATGAAATCTGGACTTTTTCAGGTATCTTTGGATCTTGTGAAGAGTTTATATGCTAAGTTCATTGATTGGGATGTTGAGATGTTTGATCAAGAGACAGGCTCTTCATCTCATGCAGCAAAGTAAGAGACTGGCTAATGTATCTAAATGAATGTCAGGGTAAATTAGTTCAATTCATGTTGAGGAGAGTTCACTGTTTGAATGTGGCAGCACAGCAATAAGTGAAGACCTGGGACAAGTCGAGTACATTATGACTGATAAAACTGGAACCTTGACTGAAAACAAGATGGTCTTCAGGAGGTGTTGTATCAGCGGCACATTTTATGGTAATGAAAGCGGGGATGCCTTAAAAGGTATGCCATTTTTCTGTCACTTGTGGGAAAGTATTCAACATTTTCCCAGAGACTATTTTATACATTTTTTTCATTGCTTGTTGCATATAAACGACCTTTTACCTGCTTTTGACTTCAAGAGTTCTTAGTTTTGATTATATGGCTTGCTCTTTCCTTTAGACATGCAGCAGGCTTTGGTCATTTATTTGAATTTCTTCATATAGACATATGAAATAGTAAATCATCATTAGAGATTTAGAGTCCTTCTTGCGTTGTTGTTCAAAAATTGAAATAACCTGTTTTAAAATAAAAAATTATCTCGTCTCAGTTCGACCACCTCTGGGTTTTTATTATATCAGCTTTGAATCATACTGATTTATATCTTGTTCTTCTTTCTATGAGTTTGGTCTTTTTGTTTTTTAAGAAGGTATTCTGTTGCAGAATAATAACTAATCGCAAAAGAGAATTCTGAAACCGTTACTCGTCAGTGTTGCAAGTTCTTATTGTCAACTGATAACTGAATTAGGTAGTATAGATGTTGTATATCGCAGAGAAATACATGACTAACTGAGTGAACAAAAGTTATTCTACGAAGAAGGGACTGTGATCCCACACTGTAAGAATGTCTGATCAGCTGAGCTGTTAAGCAAAATATCCCGGCCCACATCATTTGTGTTTTTCGTCTGATTTTACTCTGTTCCCGAACCATTTATTTTCAACAAAATGGGCACGTTGCCTTAATGACAGTTTTGGCTTGCAAACAGATGTTAGATTGCAAAATGCGGTTGCCAGCGGATCTCCTGATGTCATTCGGTTTTTGACAGTCATGGCAATATGTAATACTGTTATACCTGTGCAAAGGTGACTGCAATCAAGGATTCACTCTCTATTTTTCAATTTCTTCTGACTTTGTCCAGTTTGAAAGATGCATTTTCGTGCCGAATGCCTTTTGTCATTCTCCTGACTAGGTTTGTGTTGGTTCTGTTGCCTGTAGTAAAAATGGAAATGTTCTTTATAAAGCACAGTCACAGGATGAAGAAGCTCTTGTTCAGGCTGCAGCAAAGCTGCATATGGTCTTATTCAGCAAAAGCGGGAATCTTCTTGGTAAGGTTCTTTTCCCCCAGTGTTATGATTATCGTAGTACTGCCATAACTGAGGTTGATTTGAATGTTCTGCAGAAATCAGATTCAATGCTTCAGCAATTAAGTACGAAGTTTTGGATATTCTGGAGTTCACTTCTGACAGGAAAAGAATGTCAGTAGTAGTAAGAGACACTCGGGATGACAAGATTTTCCTCTTGTCCAAAGGAGCAGATGAAGCTATACTTCCTTGTGCTTCTGCTGGTAAAAGCTTGAAGGACATGACTATTTATTTCCTTAAAAGATTGCTGCACAAAAGTTTACAATTTCTTTGACTTATCTTTTATTGAAAATTGAGTTTCAACTCTGAGTGGCTTGAAAATATGCTCACTGGATGCATAAAGTAGTTGTTAACTATGGATGTTCTAATTTGACACTCCCAATCTACAAATTAAACTTGTGTCGTTGCTTCACTTTCTTCCACTCTTGATAATGTTACTATTATTTAGGACAACAAACGAGGACACTAAATGAGGCTGCGGATCAATATGCTCAGCTGGGCCTGCGTACATTATGCTTGGCATGGCGTGAACTCAAAGAAGACGAATATCAGGAGTGGTCATTGATGTTCAGGGAGGCCAGTAGCACACTGGTTGATAGGGAGGTAAAGAGTAGATCTCAGTACTGTGTCTGTTTCAACTTCATGCTTGTCAAGAGCTGGGCTTGGCGATTGGCTCACCTTCTTTATGACGTTGCTATTGGCTGCAGTGGAGAATAGCTGAGGTGTGTCAAAGGTTGGAACATGATCTTGAGGTTCTTGGAGTTACGGCGATAGAGGATCGTCTTCAGGTGAGTGTTCAAGTGGTTGAGCCTTGGAGGAACTCTTCACCCAATTCCTAGACTATAGATTTGTACATGTTGCTTCAAATGTCTATAACTATTTTGTAGGACGGTGTACCAGAAACAATTGAGATGCTTCGAAGAGCCGGAATAAATTTTTGGATGCTAACGGGAGACAAGCAGAATACAGCAATACAAATTGCTCTTTCTTGCAACTTTATATCACCAGGTACAGTGAAAATCCCTCTGCCCTGAAAGTGCCGGTTGTTTCTGTTCTTCTGATCCAGATTGTGTAAAACTCTTAAAGTTAGTTGCATTTGCGGATTGCACAAACTAATTCAACATATGCTTTATCTGTAAGTTGATTCTGTTCCTTGCCAGGCCTCGTGTAATGTGTGAAGTCTATTGTAGCTGGTGTGCACCCTGAGTACTAAATCACTTTTCTTTTATCAAGTTCATCCACCACCTAAACTGACTTGTCAGACAGCATTTTGAAAAAGTTAATAAGTATTGGAAATTGAACTTGTATATATGCACCTGTCAAGATATATTAAGCATATGCTTCACAATTAGAATACAAATCTGTTCATTTATTCATGCAGCTTAGGTATAAATATGCTAAAGCATTCCATATAATCCCCCCACCCCACTTGCATTTTTCACTTGTAAATCTTGTGATCCTAAGCTTATTTCAACCAATTGTCAGAACCCAAAGGCCAGCTTCTGTTGATTGATGGCAAGACTGAAGATGAAGTTTGTAGAAGCTTAGAGAGAGTGTTGCTTACTATGAGAATAACGTCATCAGAGCCAAAGGTACAGAAAACGAACTTTACCATCACAAACGAGATAAAGTCATATTGGTCCTCCTCCTCCTTGACAATTCCTATACTGTTAATTGAAAGATAAACTTGATTTATTTTTACTTAAACTACAGCATATAATTTTGTCTGTGTTCTACAATTTCCTTCCATGCACTTGCTATTATGATGGTTAGATTGATGGGTAGAGTGGGCAGGAATATAAAATAACTAGTAGTTATATTAAGTGGTGCTGTACCTTTGAATGATGAGTAGACAGTGATGTACAGATTGAAGCACGGCTAGCTGTTGGCTATTGACATGATAGAAATGACTTATATGCTTTAAGGAAAAGGAGAAGGATATAAATAAGCAATTATTGTGGTCTCCTGTTTTTCTTCTTCACACGATCTTATCTTTAGTCTCTGTCTAATAGTTCAAATTCTTGTACTATTCCTTATTCATTGGACAGTCCCTTAGTGACTAAGATATCAAGAAGTAGGTGGAATTAGTGACTATCTATTGTTATAATGATTAATATATGCAAGGATTAATCAGGCTCCTTGGTTTTGAGTTAAAAACATTGTATCATAACTAACTGTTCTGCTGGCATTCTATTTCATTGCTTTAGGATGCCTTTTAATTGCACTGGTTGTTCGTGACAGGATGTAGCATTTGTTGTCGATGGCTGGGCTCTTGAGATTGCTCTAAAAAATCACCGGAAAGATTTTACTGAGTTGGCAATTTTGTCAAGGACTGCTATTTGTTGCCGTGTGACCCCATCGCAAAAAGCACAGGTGCTTCATGATGTTAAACCTCATGTTTAATACAATTAAGCTCTTTGTTTTGGATTGCCTAGTCGCTGTTTATGATCTTAAAATTTTCCATCTCATTGAAATTTAGTGATCATATTGATTCAGCATGAAATGAAAGCTCGTCCCTATTTTAGAATGTTCAATGCGTTATATGCATGGACTGACAGTCCCAGGGGCAAAGAGGTGTTTAAGTTACGCTGTTCATAATTCAAATCTAGAATGTTCCATTTTGATAATTTCGTGAATGTGGCTAGAATGTTCTTGAGAGAAACATTTTTCTGCATTTTTTTTATGGAAAATCCCATTTTAATATAAGTCGGTTAAACAAATGGTAAATTTATGCTCTGTCCTTCATGTGAACTCTACTGGATGAAGTAACTTCTGGGTTCTGCTAATCAGTGCATAAGATACACTGACACCATTCATATTGTACTACATTGCAGCTTGTGGAACTGTTGAAATCATGTGATTATAGAACACTGGCTATTGGTGATGGTGGAAATGATGTGAGGATGATACAACAAGCTGATATTGGTGTTGGCATAAGTGGAAGAGAAGGACTTCAGGCAGCTAGGGCAGCTGACTATAGCATCGGGAGTAAGTAACTCTACATTCTGCGTAGTTATGGTTTGGTTTGCAGTTGCTGACAGTTGGCATTAATTGTTCCCAATAAAGCCTCTTTAAGTATGTTTCTGAAAAATCAATAACGCACACCTTTGCTTCAAACAACACTTAAAGTACAAAATAGATATACATATACTAATGCTACAGATCTTTTTCCCCTTTTAACACATGCCACATGAGACAATTGCACCATTCGTTTTGCTGCAATTAACTTCCTAAACATGATAAGTACTTACACAACACTGCAAAACATTTTCAGATGTTTTGACTTTCTGGCTTCTGCTCTTTGATTTGCAGAATTCAGGTTTTTGAAAAGATTAATTCTTGTCCATGGGAGGTATTCATACAACCGCACAGCCTTCTTGTCCCAGTATTCATTCTACAAGTCGCTATTAATATGTTTCATCCAGATATTGTGAGTTTTCTTCTTCGTATCTTTTCTCCCTTGTTTTCTCTTTCCTTGATCTATCCATGCTAACGAACACCGGAATGCAGTTTCTCTTTCATTTCAGGTGTTTCGGGGACCAGTCTTTTTAATTCTGTTAGCTTGATGGCCTATAACGTTTTCTACACTAGTATACCTGTTCTTGTCAGTGTCCTTGACAAAGATCTTAGTGAAAAAACCGTCATGCAGCATCCTCAAATTTTATTCTACTGCCAAGCAGGAAGGTAATTTCTGGGTCTATGACTGCTCTTAACCTTGCCTTTGTTTTGCGGACCCACTATATTATATTAAAATCAGATTTCACTGTTGTATAGCGGCATGTTATTATTTTGGTTCTATGATGACTCAAATATTCATTCTGTTGTGATCTGGCTTGATATAGGCTACTTAATCCTAGCACATTTGCTGGATGGTTTGGCCGGTCCCTTTTCCATGTGAGTGCTCTATTTTATTCGTCATCCATTCTGCTGAATGTTACACTTTTGGCAAATAGCTTCATTTTGTCTGAGATTGAAATGAAAATGCAGAATTTTATCTGAAAATAGACCCCTTTGCTCATCCATTTGTGTGTGAACTTGATTTCAGCTGTAATATTTACTTAAAACGTGTCCCTATCCCCTCATACCTGCTCATAAAATGTCATGTTGCAGGCAATTGTTGTGTTCATAATCAGCATAAATGCATTTGCATATGAGAAAAGCGAAATGGAAGAGGTTGCAATGGTGGCACTGTCTGGATGCATATGGTTGCAGGCTTTCGTTGTAATAATAGAGACCAAGTAAGCTTCTATATGACTCCTTCCAACCAAATACACAATGCCATAGTTCTCTATACTTCTCTTTACCGTATTTGAATCTTGGATAGTAATAACAGATTTACAAGTTTGATTTAAAGATTCGTTCTACCTTTGTCCTTGAGTCGGAGGAAACCTACCAGCGATTGGTTATCAGTTGAACAAAGAGAAGAGGGGATCCTCGTTCTGGAGCAAATGCTTGAATCTTAAAACTTCCTCTGACTTGTGATTGGTGTTTACAGCTCCTTCACAGTATTACAACATCTTGCAATCTGGGGGAACTTGATTGGATTTTACATCATAAATTGGATCGTCAGTACCATTCCATCATCTGGGATGTACACAATTATGTTTCGGTTGTGTAGTCAACCATCTTACTGGATTACAATCTTTGTAAGTGCCGGCTGCCTTATCTTTTCTTATTCCTATTTTTATCCTTTGATCCTGTTATTAGCTTCAACCAAAGTATAACGCAAGTGTGTTCTAAGGAGGCTAACTGGTTTTGGTTTTCTGGTTGATATTAAATATTCTTTCAACAGTTTTTCGTGTTTACCTTAGCGGTTTCGAGTTTGTTATGGATTTTAGTTTTGGCTTAACGGGTTTTCAGTCGTAAACTAGAAACATAACTGGGTACTGTGATATAACCAAAAGCAGAAATTATAGGGAAAATTAACTTTCAGCAAACGCCACAAAAATAAAAACCTTGAAATCCAGTTATTATAGATCAGTAAGTTTGAAATAGTTTTTGTTTTCCGGTTAACCATTAGGATTATCAGTATTAGTCCATTGACTGATGGTTTAGGTCAGTATTAGTCCATTTGTTTTCGAGTATCAACTGCTAAACAGTTTCGCTTCTTCGTTGTATGGTTTGTTCAACCTGACCGAACCAACCATCCACCCCTAGCCGAGTCAATAGGGGAAGAAAAGGCAACTAAAATGCCAGATTGCTTGAACCCATGGACGTGATGAGAATGCTTACTGAAATGCTATGCTATTACTCTTGCTTTGTTATTGCAGCTAATAGTTGGAGCAGGGATGGGTCCAATACTTGCCATAAAATACTTCAGGTACACGTACACACCAAGTAAAATCAACACCCTCCAACAGGCTGAACGTCTTGGGGGACCAATACTCTCTTTGGGCAATATCGATCCACAGCAAAGATCGATGGAGAAAGAAGTGGCAGCACTGTCAATTACCCAACCCAAGAGCCGGAATTCGGTGTACGAGCCACTGCTGTCGGAATCCCCCAGTGGTACAAGGAGGTCATTTGGATCGGCAGCGCCATTTGAATTCTTTCAGTCACAAGCGTCCAGATTGTCATCGAGCTACTCTAGAAACTGCAAGGACAATTGATACTCTACTAATAAAAACTCGAGCAGCACGGCATTGGATGGATACATCTCTTGTAATTTACGTTTGAATCCTTTTTAGGCTGTAAAGAAAGCAATGTCTTAGATACGCTCCAAAGCTGATTCTTGGTAGGCGATTACAGTTAACCTTTTTTCTTTGCTGACACCATTGCAGTAAACCTGTTCTATTTTTCCTTTTGTTTTCTGGGCAAGGAAGTGCTGACTGCTGAGGTGTGGAGGCCACCGCAAAGTCCACAGGCAGTGACGAATCTGTAAATGCTTTGTGTTGACTTTAAAACATAACTTGTGACTGCAAACTATGTATTAACTTAGTAGACAATGTACCTGGTTTTGGACGTCAGCGATCGATTGTAGTTTGAATAGCTGAATTTACGGTGGTACGAGTATGTGGCAACACAAAGCTAGATCTGAAGCCAATCAATGATGCGTATTTCTACAAACAATATTGCAATTTAGATGTCAGGGGAATAATCGTTCATCAATAAGTCATGAAAACAACAACTATTGATGATACTTAACGACGTATGCAGAACATAATAGATAGACGAATTGGATCCAGAATGGAAACCCAGCCAATACAATGCACCCACCTAATGGCCCCATGAACAGGTTGTCATTCAATCCAGCCTTGTTTGTTTGGCGAAAAAGGTATGGGCATCTTTGTCCCCCCAAAACATACTGAAAAAAATGAGATGGAGAGATATGGAAACAAAGGAGCAAGGTTGTTAAACCCCTATCGAACCCCCCGGTTGGACCCGGTCCGACCCGAGTCGGACTTCAAAACGGCCTCCAGAAAGCCCCCCGGTCTGACCCCTAAAGAGGAAGAAGAAGAGTGGGGGAAGAGAGGAAGAGGAACGAAAGAAGGGAAATGGTGGGTGGATCATGGAGGTTAGGTAGATTTATTTTGTTGAAAATAAGTTTTTAATAGATACATGTAAGATAAGTTTTATTTCACTCATTAAATCTTTAATTACTACCTTATTTGTATATATATTTAGAAAACGTCTAAAACGGCTCAAATCGGCCGGACCCCGATCAGACCATTAAACCTCAAACCCCTTGCTTGACCGGCTCAATGACTTAAACCGGTTTGACAACCTTGCAAAGGAGGCAACAGGAAAAAGGAGGAGAAGGGAGGATGCATATTGCATAAGAAAGAGGGGCAGCAAGGAAGGGCATAAGGGGACCCCAAATATGAAAGGGGATGCCCCTCGCCATGCCACCATCCATCAAACAGATAGATAGAGTAGGAAAGGAGAGAACTGTATAATAATGGGCATGGGCTGCTCCCTCACCCCCACACTATTTCTTGTGACCTTTGTGGCCCATCACATCATTCCCCCCCACCTAATCCTTCTTTATGTTCCCTTGGATTACTATATTTGGGATCTACATAGAATTTTTTTCTATCGAAGTTTAGACGGTTTTCGCAGTATGAAACGATAGAGTCACGAATTCAACACAACATATTCATTACCTATGCAGTAAAAAAAGGGTGGTTCTTCGTAGAAGCGTTTTGGTGGCCTAGAAGTCTCAAGAGCGTAAGTTTTTTTATGTTATAAACCGCATTCGAGCTTACATTATTGCACAAAATGCAGCCACAATCGCGATTCTACTACGCAAAAGTGTTTTGGTGACCTAGAAACGTAAAAAGTCTATGCATTTAAGTTTTAAAAAGCGCGACTTTGGCTACAATCGCTATTCCTTACTTTTGCAGTCGAAACTCCAGTACGATGTTACAATTCTTACAAGAACAATGGGCGATGATCATAGTATATGCATTATACTTCAAGGATTGAAAATCGTACTGTACTGACGGTTCGACTAGAAAGACCTCCTACCAGATACTAAATCGGTATACGGTATGTAGCAATATAAAATCAGTTGAGCCACGGTTATACCACGATTACAATACATAATAACATATTGCTAACATTTTCAGTAAAATTTCCGATATGATTTTATTGGATGCCTCCAGCCTCCACCGAGCGAGCTAGCAGAGAATCCTTTGTTTGTTCGCCTACAAAAACACAGGCTTATGGGTGCTGGTTGCTTCATTCCTTAGGGGCCCTGTCCTCCTGTCCCTCCCCTCACCATCATAGCTGTCTTCCAGATACCAGTTACCCTCCTAGGAAACAATATAATCTGCCAATGACTATGTAGATAACTAGATATGCTAGCTGCATCATTTGGTTACACTCGTTTTTTTTTTTTTTTTTTTTTTTTTTTTTGCAATAATCTTTCAACAATGATTATTATTTGAATTCCAAATTTAGCAAGAACTATATTGATAGGTTTGAAAATAATTTTTAATTTTATGATTCCAATAATCATATAGAAAAAATTTGAATATTCAAGGAATATTCAAGGATGATTCCAGGCTGGCTGGCTAGGTTGCTGTTGCTGGATGCTGGGATTGTTCTATATAGACTATAGTGATACCGTACGTGTAGAGAATTCATGCACCAATTAATTCTCTACCAAAATTCGGATGGCCATAATTAGTTGGCATTTAAGGTCATCGTTGTCTTACTTTAAGTTCTTGTATACTCTCCAAGTGCAAAGGAATGGTAGGAGGAGCTAAGGACAGAGTACAACCACATTAGTATCTATACAATAATATTCACTTTTTTTTGTATATATATTGAGGATAAACAAAAGAAATTAAAAACACATTTGTTGTCGTATTATCATGCCATGTCATGATCTTACTAATATGGTAAGACTGACAATACCATCTTACCACTATTATAAGATGTAAGAAGGCATGACAAATATTTGTTAAAAAATATAAAAAATGATGTCAACTTGTAGATCTACACTGTAATAAGACTTCATACTATCTCCGATGGAGACATGGATCTAGGGTGTCGGGAATTGGGTCATTGAATTGAGATTAGATCTGGAGATGATGGATTCGGGGAGAGTTGATGATAGAATTAGGAATTTGGAGAAGAAACTTCAAGGAGAAGAAAGGGGAGGGGAAATGTTCTATTATTTCTGAATGGAAGTGGGGAGTGACAGAGGGAGAGGGTCGACTGATAAAGAGAGAGAGAGAAGGGGAGGGGAGGGGGAGTGGTGTCTACAGAAATTCTGTAATTGTGATTAACCTTACTGGTCCAGTCCACAATTTAAAGAATAATAATTTGACTAATTTTCTTAAGCTATCCATAATTAACCCTTAATACTAAAATGTCAAATAACTCACAAAACCCCTATAATGAACCCAAATCTCCGAACAGTTCTAAAATATCGTGAAACATAAATCCAAATGCGAAAAGTGATGGAGACCCAGTATCCATCGTTCCCTCTCTCTTCAGAGCAACCTCGTCCTCAAGGTTGAGCTGGCTCCTCCTGGTTCAACTTTCCTTCCTCATTAGCTAACTCATCGGTCTTATTCTCCCAGCTTCGAACGAGTAGCATCAGGTGAGCATTGGTACACTGATGTCCCACCAAGTACCTCTCATTGTAGTGAAAGTAACGAAGGTCTTCGCACTTCTACTCCATCTCCATCGGAGTCAATCCCACAAACCCCTAGGCCATAAGCGAGGCCCTGGGCGAGTCGCCACTTGCACTACTATGATTGGTGCTATCACCTGGCCCCCGGTGCAGTCACTGAGTCCGTCCCTCCACTTAACTGCTGTGCTCCTCCTCTATTTGATGTGTAAGTCTAAAAGTCACTCTCAGAGAGTCAGACCCAAATAACTTGAACACTGCAACCAGCACTGGTTTCAACCCTGCCATGCACGAGACCACCAAAGTATCATCTTCCACACTCTTGCACAGATTGCCCAACGTCAAGAACTAAGACTAGTACTTAAACAACCGTCCTAGTCTGCCTTAGATTGGCTAGATGCTTCGGCACCCAACCAACTGCTCTCTCAACCTAGTACCTAAGCTCCTCCTGAAATCTGGGCCACATGATTAGCATCTTGGCCTCTGCATACGATCGCTCCATCCATTCCCACCAATGGAGGGTATCTCCCTCCAAGTAGAAAGACATCAGGTGCCATTCCTCTCGTCCCGCATGCATAGGATGGTTTTTAAACCACCTATAAGTTGCATACAAGAATAGCCCAACATCTTATTGACCATAAACTTGGATAACTCAATGGTCTGAGACTTGACCCTCAAGATAAGATCATATCGCCATCAAAAGTGGGGTTGTATCCACCATACCTGCAAATGTCGTGTCCACCACGGTATCCCTGCTCCCGATTCTACCGAGACATATCCTGGAAGCCCAATTCCTCCTTGTTCCCATAATAGCTTCCTCCATTGGAGGAAAAGCTGAGACGAAAAGAAAGAGGGGGAAATGTTCAACTATGGCTGACCATAAATGAGAAAAAATCCAAAAGTACCATTGTTTAAAAAAAATTCCAAAAATACCACCCAACCCCAAAAAATTCCAAAAATACCACCCTTTTTCAAAAACCGCCACCCCACCCAGCGGTTTGGTCAAAAACCGCTTGTCGGGGGCGCGGTTTTGGACCAAACCGCGGGCCTAGGGGGCGGTGGGCGGTTATAAAAAAAAAAAAAAAAAATTGGACCAAACCGCTGGGTGGGGTGGCGGTTTGGCACAAAACCGCCACCCCAACCAGCGGTTTGGTCCAAATTTTTTTTTCCGACCAACTCCTAACTTCGGTCGAAACTTCAAACGAACGTAACTTTGCACTCAGGTATCCGATCGTAGCGATTTTTTTTTCATTTCGCATAACTTTTCAAGATCTACAACTTTTACTAGGATGAAATTTTCAAAACAGGAACTATTTGTGGATATACGGGACCTTGAGAATAACTTTACCTTTACTTTTCAGAAATCCATGTACATTTTGAAATTATGATTATATTAAAAGTTGTAGATCTTGAAAAGTTATGCGGAATAAAGGCTAAATTACACGTTTGGTCACTCAAATTATACAAATCTTTCACGTTTGCCACCCGAATTACTTTTCTTTCTTATTCGCCACTAACTTTACGAATTGTTTCACGGTTGGTCACCGGCCGTTACACTCCGTTAAGTTTGTCCTACGTGGCAGTCAACTATAAAGTTTGACCGTTAACTAGATGACGTGGAAATTAAAAAAAAAATTCTTTCCACCTCATCATTGCACTTATTTTGTCTATATATAATTTATCATATTAATTTATTAATATGATAAATTAATATGATAATTCGTTGTTCGATCATCGATGGCCATGCCGGCTACCTCCGACGATCGGGAGCTCTGCGGCGACGGCAACCGGCCAACCGATTCTGATCTTCAGGTACCCAATTCCTCCGCAGTACTAAAAGATGCACATTTACCTTTCGATGATATCGTGATCGACATTCTGTCTCGGCTACCCGTGAAAACCCTAATCCGATTCAAGTCCGTCTCCAGAGACTTTCACGCCGCCGTCTCCAACAACCCACGTCTCATCTCCC